TAGCAATGGCAACCTATTAGCGATAGCCTCCAACCTATTCGCAATGGCCTCCAAACCTAATAGCAATGGCATGCAACCTATCAGAAAAGGCCTCCAACCTCATAGCGATGCCCCTCCAACCCATTAGCAATGCCAACCTATTAGCGATAGCCTCCAACCTATTAGCAATGGCACCAAACATATTTGCAATGGCCTCCAGCCAAGTAACCATGGCCTCCAACCTATTAGCAATGGCCTCCAACCGAATAGATGTGGCCTCCAAGCTATTAGCAATGGCCTGGGAGCGATGGCCTCCAACCCAATAGCGATGGCCGTCAACCTAGAAGCAACGGCCTCCAACCTATTGGCAATGGCCTCAATGGCCTCCAACCTAATGGGGACGGCCTCCCAACCTACACGCAATGGCCTCGGACCCAAATAGCAATGGCCTCCAACCTAATAGCAATGGCCTTCCAACCTAACAAAACAGAACGAGACACTGAAACAGCATCGCCCTTAGGAATACTCTTGGAGGCCTTGATTTCCTCCTCGGAGTATTCATTGCTGGCCTGCCACATGTCCCCAATAAGGCCCCCCCTGACTGCCCACAAAACATCAAGAAGCCATGTCACCGAGCCTCATTTAGATGGGAGTCGGTCTTTGGACGACCTCCCAAAAGGAGCACGTCGATACTTGACACCTGGACTTTGTGCTTGACCAGCCGCGAGCCTTCAATGTAGTTGAGCGCCGGATCAATCCAATCAGATTTCCACCTTGAAACGATCCCCGCGGACCCGGCCGGGACAGGCTCGAACCGAGGCCTGTCCAGGAAGCCAATTCCAAAGCCAGTTGCCATGGCAAATGCTTTGCTGACCCCATAGAGGTATAAAGGGACAATGGCACCTGGTATTCCATCTGGCCCGCTCACGCAAGTAATCGGCTCCGATCTGGGCTGCGATATCTTGAATGTTCAAAGCCGATTACATGTTGCTAAGGTGCACCATGAATCCTGTTGTGGCTATGTCGAAGCAACATGGGCAGAAGCGGGGCAACATAGAACAGCATGGCTTGAAAGAGACATCTCTGCCGATCGCCCATGTGCGGTCAGATTCCTCTCGAGTGCTTTTTTGCTCGAGCAGCTTGTGGCTCAGTTTAAGGCTGCCTGCGCCCTGGCACTTGGGAGGTCTCTCTCGGGTGAAGCTCTTGGTGCAAACCCAGTGCCTTAGGAAAGCCTCCTCTTGTCTTTCAGCCACGGCCCATTCCTGGAAGTCGCTTTGGGGTCGGTGCGTGCGAGCCGTGAACCAATGATTGAAAGAAACTGATCGAGCCAAGTCAGTATATAGTAGGCTTGACCGCTCCAACACTCCACCCCAATAGCAAAGGCCTCCAACCTACTAGCGATGATCTCCAACCTAATAGCGATGGCCTCCAAACTACTAGGGATGGACTCCAACCTACTAGCGACGGCCTCCAACCTATGAGCGATGATCTCCAACCTAATAGCGATGGCCTCCAAACTACTAGGGATGGACTCCAACCTACTAGCGATGACCTCCAACCTACTAGCGATGATCTCCAACCTAATAGCGATGGCCTCCAAACTACTAGGGATGGACTCCAACCTGCTAGCGATGACCTCCAACCTACTAGCGATGATCTCCAACCTCATAGCGATGGCCCTACTAGCGATGACCGCCAACCTACTAGCGATGATCTCCAACCTAATAGCGATGGCCTCCAAACTACTCGCAATGGCCTCCAACCTACTAGCCATGATCTCCAACCCAATAGCGATGACCTCCAACCTAATAGCGATGGAGGTAAACTTACATACTAGGGATGGACTCCAACCTACTAGCGATGACCTCCAACCTACTAGCGATGACCTCCAACCTACTAGCGATGATCTCCAACCTAATAGCGATGGCCTCCAACCTACTAGGGATGGACTCCAACCTACTAGCGATGATCTCCAACCTAATAGCGATGGGCCTCCAACCTACTAGGGATGGACTCCAACCTACTTGCGATGACCTCCCAACCTACTAGCGATTATCTCCAACCTACTAGGGATGGCCTCCAAACTACTCGCAATGGCCTCCAACCTACTAGCAATGAACCTTGCGGGACATCGAAAGCCCCTCCAACCTACTAGCGATGATCTCCAACCTAATAGCGATGGCCTCCAACCTACTAGGGATGGACTCTAATAATAGCGATGGCCTCCAACCTACTAGGAATGGTCTCCGACCTGCTAGTGATGGCCTCGAACCTACTAGCAATGGCCTCCCACCTACTAACGATGGCCTCCGGCCTACTAGCGATGGCCTCCAACCCACTAGCGATGACCTCCAACCTAATAGCGATGGCCTCCAACCTACTAGGAATGGTCTCCAACCTGCTAGTGATGGCCTCAAACCTACTAGCGATGGCCTCCAACCCACTAGCAATGGCCTCCAACCTAATAGCGTTGGCCTCCAACCTACCAGCAATGGCCTCCAACCTGCTAGCGATGGCCTCAAACCTACTAGCGATGGCCTCCAACCCACTAGCGATGACCTCCAACCTAATAGCGATGGCCTCTAACCTACTAGCGAGGGCCTCCAACCTGCTAGCGATGGCCTCAAACCTACTAGCGATGGCCTCCAACCCACTAGCGATGGCCTCAAACCTGCTAGCGAGGGCCTCCAGCCTCAAACCTACTAGCGATGGCCTCCAACCCACTAGCGATGGCCTCAAACCTGCTAGCGAGGGCCT